GTATGACAAAGAAAGTGAAAGCATGTGAAAAATAAACGGATAATAAATGACGATAAAATAAACAGTCAAGTTGTGTCCTTAAAATTAAGTTGCCTTCATTTAAAGAAACAAAGTACACGAATGACGCCAATAAACATCTGTGGTATGCAAATAACAGGAACATAACTGTTTTTTTTAACCCGGAACATTTCTCTTTTTACTACTGGAAACAATTAAGGTCAAACTGTAATTAATCTTCTGTGTTCAAGAAAGATTTAGCTCAGGTGGTACCCCATGGTGAGGTCCTGTTTATTCACAGCAGGCGTTAACTCATTCCTGTTTTGTGTTGGGCTTGGTTATACACAATTAAAGAATGACACCACTAAAGGGAGGGAATTCAATTGTCCCTTTTCCTGGTTCTGCTGTAAAAATAGTGTTTCGGCACAGACGTAAAACAATGAAAGACAGCGGCTCCTCTTTGCTTCAGCAAAAACTTATTCCAAAAATGTTGTCTCTTACAGTAATTTAGTTTAAACACCTAAAAAACTAAATGCTAATATATCTCTCTGTTATTTGAAACAAGACATATTTTTACATAATACTGTAAATTGAATCTAAACAAAATCTCAAAAATATTTAACCCTAACACAAAAAGTTCTAGTTCTTTATTACCATTAAATTCAAATAACCATGATTATCCAACAGTCTAAAGAAAGCATTTGTACTCAAGAAGGTTGATACTATTATGTTTTAAGAATCAGCAGCTGATTTACAGGACCATTAAACAATTTGTAACTGCTTTCATCTTGACAATCAGTTAGAAAAACTTTGTTTTTCACATTGCAGGAAAAATTGAGAAATTGTTTTTTAGTTAAAAGGTTTGTGACTATAGCCCTAAAGCATTTAATTACATTCCCATTTCCATTTTCTGAATGAATGAATAAATGTAGGTATCACTTCTACAGTACCCTACAATGACTAAACATTCCAATTCATCAGCTAGCACATAACAATGCCTCTCTTTGCAAAGTGACTGCACTAGAGAGGATATTCTTTGAATGAAGCGTCATGGTGTGACAAATCTTTTTAGTCAAATTACACATAGTATCTATAGAACCTCCTGGTGAGCATCAGCATGATGGTGCTCCATTCAGAGGTTCAAACAGAGATTAATTCAGCCGTCCCACCAAGGAAGGGGTCGTCTTTGTACAGCTGAGACCCTACAGTTAAAGATAAGGCCAGTATTCAGGAATGTAAGGGCACAAAGTGTAAAACGCTGTTTTTAAAAGACAATGAAGTTAGGGGTGTGTGCAGAGTGTGTCACACTGAGAAGCATTAATTCACTTTAATCATTAGTCACAACAGGTAGTGCCTTTAAAGGCTATTTACAGTCAGGATATGGCACTGCCAGATTCCTCTCTGGGGTCAGAAGGTGCAACCGGTATCATTTTCACAACCCTTCAGCCCCCAAGTCTCTTTCTAGCAGCATCCTGGCTGTAATAATCAAAAATATTAAAACAGGAAGTATGTCTTTGCCAGCTAGCAGACTCTCCTTTTAAGTTCTCAATATTCCTAATACCTGCTTCACTTTTTCTCGAAGCAAGATTTTGGGGCTTAAATCGTACACTGTTTTCGAAAGCCATCCATCCACTTTCAGTAACTGCTGTGTTATTTGAGTGCTGCCAGAGCCTACCCCAGCAGATATTGAATGAGATGGCACCCTGAGTGGAACACTTTCCCCATCTCAGTGCAGGTCATGGGAAAACGTGTACACTTTACAGAAGAAAATAATACTTGGAAATATGCGATTATTAGGATACACACAGGAAGTGACTTACTGGCATTTACTGACTGACTAGATACACGGGGGGAAGTCTCTAAGTAGCTGAAGGAAGTACTAGTAAGATCACACCACACCTCTTCTTATATCAGCTTTAGTGACACAGAGTCTTGCTTTCCATTGTTCTAAGTCTTTTTATTGGAAAGAATGTCACATGCTCTACATGGTGTAATGTATATTTATATAAGACTTTAACATAACATAAATCACAATACCATAAATATAGGGTATATAACATCTATTCCGATGTCAATATTTCTTATTTTTGTCATCTTGCAAGCAACAGGCACAAGGAAGAACACACCCTGGACAGGACACCAGACAATCGCAGGGCACACTTGCTGTAGACACAGACACACTCACACCAGGGTCAGTTTTCTCTAAAGCCAATTCACCTACCAGTATATCTCTGGACTGCGGGAGGAAACTGGAGCACCTGGAGGAAACCCATGCAAACACAAGGAGAACATACAAACTCCACCCAGATAGCACCCCACATCCGGAGCCTGCGGCAATGCTAACCTCTGCATCACCCTGCCACCCTTGTATCATAATAAGATAAAATACTTTATGCTGAATATGCCTGATCAAGTATTCAGAAAGAAAGAAATATATAGACAAGGTTGGGATCCATTTTTTTCTCTGAAGAAAAATTGCCCTGTCCATCTGTCCACTCACTTTGTCTTCAGTTCCTACACTCTCCAACACCTGAAGCTGTTGTGGACTTGGAGATTCTAACGCTGCCACCTCCTTATTCTTGTTTACACGGCCTCCTCTCAAAATTGTACTGATAGCTTTGTCCCCTCCACATTTGTCACATCTGAGCCAATCCAATGCTTTTGGATCCATCTCACCTCAGAGTGGCTTAAAAATGTTCAATGGCTGTTAGAGGTACTTCTGTTATCTTCTTGCTGTTGACCCGGCTGTCAAAGTGCTTTGTTTTCCAGAACTACCGCTATTGAATTCCATCTCTCTCATCTTATTTTCACTGTTTGCGCTGACACGTTGGCACTTTCCTTTAAACATTTTATATGTTTTGCTTTTTCAAGCTATTTGAATAAAGGCTATTGTTTAAAGACACGAAGTGCCCTTTTCTTTGATCTGAACTTCAAATTCAGAAGACAAACTCATGTTGCATAGAGTCCAGGCACAAGAAGAGAAGAAATAATGAAACTGGAGTTTTCAGCTGTCTGCATGAGTGTGTGTGCCCAGTAAACCCTGCATGATAATTTAAAAAAGTTTATTTTTCTCTGTTTTGGTCTGCTCCATTCTGTTTTTGGTGTTGGAACCAAACACAGTATATTCCTGAACCTTCAATACAGAAAAGGAGGTTCAGCTAATCAAGTTATAGAAAACAGGAACACTTCATAAAGATAATTTACTCAGTGTGTGCCACATACATTAATAAAACATTGTGCACTCTTAAAAGTTTATAGTGAAAAAGATAACTGTGAATTTAAAGTGTCCTATAGCTAACGGCATATCAGGACTTAGCATACCTCTAAAACCAACACAGACCTGAAGAAAGGTCAGATTCTTGTGATTATTTTCTTATTTAATTTTCTTTCTAAAGTGGCTAAAATAAATATTTATTGACCCACTAAATATGCACTGATTATACATTTTAGTTGCACAATGTTATGCAATATGTATTTAAAAAAAACATGCCTGAGTTCATACAAGCTTTGAGTCAACTAAAGTTGGCTTGATAAAAATAAATACAGTGAAGTGTTTTTTTCTGACTGCAGTGTGTGTGATTTATTGGTTTAGTGTTTTAAACTAAAGGAAAATATTAAGGAAAAAAACAATGTGCTTTTGGCCTCCTGATATGAAATCAGTTTTTGATGTTTGTCATTTAATTTAAATGCAAATGTCGGGTATGAATTTAAAAGTGTGACTATAGAAGGCTGGGAGATATTGTCAGGAATCAATATACTAGAAATAAAACAACCCCACACAGGCTTAAAAAAGCAATAGAAAATCCTGTCTGACAAAACATTACTCTGAAAATAAGATACTGAATAAATCAATCAAATTCCTATGGTGATTCACGTTCATTCTTTTATGCACATTTTTATTTTAACTACCACATTATCATTTTTTTCCTTTTTACAAAAATATTTGGAGCACTACCACCTCTAAAATAAATTTGTTCTTCGCACGGCTTTATTGTTTTGGGAGATCAAAACTTAATTGCTTCATAAAGGGGCTTAGGAATTTCACCCAGCACCGTAAATCATTATTTTGAGCTGAAGTATTTTCTTCTAATGATTAAAACGCCTCTTTCACGTGTCTTACAGAACTTGCTGTTCCCTTGAGACAGATGTGACACATCTTATTAAATTAAGTAAATACCCCCTTGCCTCCCAGTTCTAATTTACAGTACATACAGGCTACACTATCCCTTATACGATTGAATAAGTGTTTCTAAACGATATAGATTACAGAAATGTGGTACATCTCTTAATAATGTGTGTCATTATTGATTCACAAATGTGAAATTTAGCAGCAAAACTAATAATAGTGATGATGACGGCGATGTAAACAAGAGAAAAAGTGAATTACAACTTAAAAACTCGAAAAATGCTTCCTGGCAGTGTCTATGCGTGGACACTTAAAATTTACCATAAGCTTAAAAATTGAGACATATACATCTATCTTAACCTGATAGCCAAAAACTGCATTTACGCGCACAGGACAGTTACATTGCAACAACTTTTGCAGCGCAAGCACCTGTTATGAGGAAACTCCCCGTGACATAACCTGCGCAGTAAAAATGTCTTAAACGATTTTATGTTTATCGCCAGACTACAATTTTGTCTGCACTTAAAGTTTAAATACACGAGATGCGCCCATAAAACTTTGAACTGAACAGACACTGAATGCTAAAACTGACTAAACTCACCTCCTGCACAAGAAAACTTCACTTTTCTAGCTACACGCTGTAACTAGTGCAGCTAGTGCAACAAAATCGTTTTCACTGAGAAATCGGTGGACCGAAGAAACTCTGACATAAATTTAATAGACGTTTATTTTCTGGGGGAGATCAAAGCTAATGGCACTTCAGATACTTGCTTTCCACAAGAAAATGGAAGGCTCTACAGATCTAATTAACTTGCAGCCCAAAACAAACAACAATTTAAAACAAAATTAAATTCAGTTAACTTTGATAATTACTCACCCATGAGAGAAATCACATAAATTAGAGCACACATTGTCATTGTTTTTTGTAGTTTGACTTCTCGCTGATCTCAATGCTGGAACAGAGGTGCGTTAGCAGATTTGTGCGTAGTTTAGTTTAGTTCTTTTTTGTTGTTGCTGATGCTGGGAGGGCTGTTTTGTTACGGTTATCTCCTTGGATTATATTTTCAGTAAGTGATTTTGCTTCGCTGTGATTGTTTTTGCTGAAAGCCAGGAATGCTTTTGTTCATTTTTTTTCTTCCCGAGTCGGGGATGTAATGAAAAGCTTTCGCAGGTTTCCTTGGCCGCCGTGAATGTAAACTCCAATCTCTGCCTTCCTTTCTCCCGCTTTTCATGGGGGAGTCTGCAGTCGTGAGGGCTGTTGATGGCTATAGACGTATTGTACTCGCAGGGCAAGTAAGTGGCCAGGCGAAATGTGTACTTTACAGAGACGGAGCTCAGCTGTCGATAGCGATGGCACTGCCCACATGTTTAAGTATCACAGGGGTTCACCAGGCGAAACCCAACAGGATCCAATTGAAAAACGGGGTGGGCTCCAATCCGAACAATAAAAAAGGAAATAACTCCTCATCGAACTTTTTTTTTCTGCCTGCGAGCACTTAAATTGAACCGCAAAAATCACTACAGATGTAAATAAACTTGACAGAACTTACTGATTTTCTTTGTCAATTATTACGAACGTTGTACGTGACTAAAATAAACGTGGCTTTAGACGACAATAGGAAGGCATTGACATACAGTACACATTGTATTTAAATTAGCCACAACCTTGCTACGTTGATGATTCCTCAACTAACATTATAATGTTATATAAAAAATACATTTAATTTTTTTTTAAATCAACTAGGTGTACAACCACCGTGCCTCTAAAATATGTGAGTTGCCCCTGCTTTTTCAACATAAGTACAATACGATGTTTTTTTTTTATCGCTGTAAGAGACAATATTCTTCCATCTAACAGATCTGTCATGATTCCCATCTCACCTGAGAGCAGTCTGTTGCATTTTCACATATGTATCTGTTTGCAAGCAACTGTATTGGTTCTGCACTTAGTAACTTTGACATATACTGTTGCATATCTTACTTTTTTTTAAAAGAAAGTATCATGGGCTTTTTTCTGAGAATATTATAAGCGACTCCTGGACCATGATCCATCATTAATATCTGCTAAATCAATATAACTATAATTGCCAGAGGATCAGTAACCCAGTTTGTGGTCAACAGACTGTCAGATTTAATGCAAATAGAATGTACTGTGATTAGTGCTGAGAGGTGCAGAGGACATCTCTTGGTTGTCCTGCTCACACCTGAAGAAGGCTCCACGTCCGAAACGTTTGTGTTTTCTTTCTTCTCTTTTCAGCATGGAATAAACCTAATACTTACCTCTTGGTTGTGCTGAGAGGTGGATTTTTAAACTTGCCATTGCAGTTGTATTGCATTTCTCAATCTGCTGTAAGGTTCTTTAATGCCAAACAATGGGTTCTGAAAGGTCAATGTTCACTACTTGGCAATAATATTCTGACCTTATTATAATACAATGGACAAATGTTTGCGCAATTAATAGTACAAAGGATGTAAGACAGCATTAAGGTGGTCAGCTTTAACTATAGAAAAACACTATAGCCACAATAACCCCCGGAGTGTTTGCAAACTTTGGATTTACTGGCACCTGTATTGGTGTATTTTATGTGATACTCTTTTGAGTGACTGGAATATGCCTGAATTTGTTGGTCTGATAGCCTATGTACTGTATATATTTCAGGTGGGTAGCTGCTGAAGAAGGCTCCACGGCCGAAACGTTGTGTTCTCTTTCAACTTTTTTTCAGCATGGAATAAACCAATTACTTGTTCCTATGTATATATTTACCAACCTGCTGATCTGTTGCAGTCAACAGGTTGTTACTGGTTTATGGAGAACTCTACTTGTTTCCAAACATACAGTAAATATTGGTTACAATTTGTTGCATTTTCAAGTTTACATTTGTATCTGTTATCAAGGAACTGTACTGGTTGTGCAATTACTTACTTTGACTTATAGCATAAATTAGTTATTCTTCAAAGAAAGTATGAGTACTCTGAGCTTGCAGGTCCCCCAGGACTCTAACACTATTTTCTGTCCTGGCCTGTTCTTATCGAGTTTCCTCCAGTGACACCAGTTTGACTTTCAATATTAAAAGCAACTGCTATTCCAGTGTGATATTAATGGGATGACAACATTTTTTCTTCTACCAAACCAAAAGTGCTATAATTTAATCAAAAGTAATTTTCATCAAAATTTAATCAAAGTATATGCCAGATGACCAGTAGAATTGTAACCTGCTTATGACTGTTTGTAAGACTAGGAAACATTACAGTACAACAAGTTTCAGTGCTCGTTCCAGATCGTCGATGAAGCTGTGGATGTAACAAATAAGATTTTTCCTGAACAGTGAACAGTCATACTATCATTAAATAGTATGACAGAAATGCGAGCCTTTGCATGTATCTATTTTAATATCTCACTTGTATTTAGTTTTATTATTATTAATCATTTTAAAGTTCTAGTTTGAAATCTTACTCACTCTATTGGGATGCATAGTGTCAGTGTGGCTTCATTAAGGCTCCTATATGAAGGGACAAAATAAGTAAAACAAAATTAAAAAAGTAAAATGCTTTTTGAAAAACAATATCTTGGCTCAGACGGCACGGTGACGCATTGGTTCGCATTGCTACCTCTTAGCACTGGGGCCCTGGCCTCTAGTCCCGGCCCTATTGTATATGCTATATGTGTAGAGGTTGTATGTTCTCCTTTGTTTGTTTGTTTGTTTGTTTGTATGGGTTTCCTCTGGGTGCTCCAGTTCCCACAGTCCAAAAGCATACTGGTTGGTTCTTTAGCTACTGGGAAAATTGACTACTTATGTGTGAGTGTGCATATCTGTGTTTGTGTGTCTGTCCCATGATGGACTAATGTCTTGTCCAGAGTGTACCCTGTCTTGAGCCTGTTGCTCTGACTCCCCTGTGACCCTAAATTGTAACAAGCAGTTAGAACATGGAGAGATGGCTGCATTTACTCAAATTTTGTGATCAGTATAAAAATGGGTCGCAGTTAACCATTAATCCTATTTTTGCTAAAAGGGTTCCAAAGATCGTGGGATTTGCAAAATAATCCACATAATTCACTGATTCAGTTCTGACTCTCAGCTCTGACTTTCCCCTAATGTTTTTGCTTTATTTTATGATGAAGGGGCATAGCATGATCCTTTAATTTTTTTTGACTCGAGAGAAAACAAAAAGTTATTGTTGATATAGACTCAAAGATAGAGACTGTTGTCTGAACTACATTCCCCATAAGGCAGTGAGGAATGATTCGCCATCTTCCCTCACCTGATCAATTGGTGGAAGACAATGGGTTCGGTCATATTTTAAACAAGGAAGCTGAGGTGAAGCTCAGCTGTCAGGTCGTATTTATTGACAGGGACTGAGGAAATCTAGTTGGAGCACAGAAGAAGAGCTAAGTATTTGTTCTGTTGTAAAAGTGTGAACAGAGTCCAATTCTTTTTACATTCATGTTGAAGTGAAGTGTTTTTATGTGGAAAGGTCCTTGAGACATGTTACCATGGTTACCAACATTATACACTAGTACGACTTAAAGGGGAACTGCAGCCTCAATTTCTCAGACCGGTTATTAAATCTCAGCAACAAAATAAATTCATTGATGGTATAGAAAAGAAATTTACAAATTTTGAATTACGCACAAAATCACGAACCTTGTGAAAGTACTGTAAGTTGCCATATTATTGCAAACTACTGGTCTCATCTCGGTCAAGAGCGAGAGTTCTCTTGGACTGTGATGTGATGTGGCCCTTTCTGCTCGCTAGTAACAGTAATGACTAATGTAATCAGACGTACGAGTGAATAAGTACACGTCGTGCAGCAGACATTTCACCGCAGAGATGTTCCAATGTGATCTGCATGCAGAGTTAACAAGTACTGTAAGTAGTATTTGTCGGCAGCACAGTCTCAAATTTGAGAGCAATATTTCTGTTGGATTAATTGGATTCAATTGGATTCACAATCCTGCTTCTTTACAATGTAAGGACTGCTTCACTCCCCGGACATTCTGTTGCTTCTTTCTGAATCACAGAACATGGCCCTGTGCATACTTGGAAGTTTTGTCTATTTTGTGATGTAAAGTGGATGTTTTACAACTTACTTTCGTTGTAGTTTGAAATGCACTCATCAAGCTGATTCTTTCTAAAACCTCGAAATATAAAAAAAGCTTTGCAGTTCCCTTTAGATTTAGAATACTCTGTAAATTTTGGTCATCATATTACGAAAGCATATATGCTGATATGGAATCAGTCCATAAAACAAACATCCAACCACCTTTATATTCTTGAAGAAAGAAGACCATGAGAGGGCTCTATCAAAGTATTCAACATCAAACATCCATCCAGTGAAATTCAGTATCAACACTGAAACATAATAAGGTTGCAAATTGAAACTGTGGAAGGGACATACTTCTTTCGTTCTTTTAAACGTTGTGGGATAAGATACCCAGTCATGTTGTTGTAGCTGAAACCCTGGCTTCTTTCAAAAAAGATCTGAATGAGGACAATTAACTACTAACTACCAAAACACTAAATGTGTTGAATGCCATCCTGCCACATTTGTGATCATTCTTATTTACATGTACTGTAGTTACAACAGGTTTGTAGTTTAAACAGATCTGGGACAATGTGGTTTCATTTCTAAGCTTTGTAAAAAGTCATAGAAACCTTGTTCCAGTCTGATGTCCCTCTGGCTGCTAAATAGCACTCTTTTAGGATGGTGGGGATGCACAGCCAAAGACAAATGATCAATTTTCATTTTCTGCTTTTACCAAACACAGAACCTTCTGTTTTTGAACGAGAACTGGGATAGTGGCATTCTTAACCCGCCATTAAGTTCTAATCAACAGTTTAGGCACTGCTGTTTCTCTGCTGATAGCAGAGCCAGATGTTTTCTACTGACAGAAGTTTAGTTTTTCCAAAGCTACTGTTAAATAGAATTCTTTATTGACAGGTGTACTGTATGTGTTGGAAAACATACAAGAAAAGGTACTTGAGGTACAGTTTTACAAAATTTTCTGAATTTCAAGTTTGCTTTTCCGTTTACCAGGAAGGTGAAGAAAACGATGGAGGAAATGTTATATATAACCCATTCTACATAAAACCTACTTTCATTTCCAATCGTGATCTCTTGTACTCGTTCCTCTGTTGAATGTGAAATTGACCCCAGTCTATACTAATTAGGGTTCATACAGAGTTTTATACAATTAGAGTGAATTTCTTATCAATCTTCTCCATTCTAGCCTAATGTATTAAGACACAAAATCTAACCTATTGCTTTCTATTGAACTCTGTATAGGATTATAATTTAATTATTTATGGTTTGGTAACCAAAACAGAGCAAAATATTATAAGTAAGTAACTTACTACTATATTATAAAGCTCACT